AGTGCTCGTCTCTCGGTGCTGCAACAGGCAGGTTCCTGTGTTTACATTGTCCTTTGTTCTTATTTTACAGTTTGTGGACATTGGAATAGTAACAAGTATTGAAATAAACCACAAGCAAGTGGATGTTGCAAAAAAAGGACAAGAAGTCTGTGTGAAAATAGAACCTATCCCTGGTGAATCCCCCAAAATGTACGGCAGACATTTTGAAGCCACAGACATTCTCGTCAGTAAGGTAAGTCCCTCCGCAGAGGGGACCTCTGAAGAGGCGGCGGCCCTGCTGGCTCCCTCACTCGGCAGCCGGAAGGGACTGGTGTGGGCAGGCTGACGGGGAGCGGCCCCTCGGGAAAGCTGCTCACAGTGAGGGCGCTGGTCTCCCAGGGCCCCAGCAGCGCTGCCTTAGTGTCTGTCAGAGCGGCCAACGTCTGGGGGTCGCCCGCTTCTCTGGGCACTTGTTGGTTCCATTCTGTTCTGATGCCTCCTGTGCCTCGTCCTTTGCAGATCAGCCGGCAGTCCATCGATGCTCTGAAAGACTGGTTCAGAGATGAGATGCAGAAGAGTGACTGGCAGCTTATTGTGGAGCTGAAGAAAGTATTTGAAATCATCTAATTTTTCCACATGGGGCAAGAATTAGAGTAAATGCAAGAAAAACAAGATAAAAAGTGGAATGGACGTATCTGGACACTGATGCACTTAAGTATGGAAGGAAAAAAATAGATGTATAAAATGTTTTCCATGAGAAACCAAGAAACTTACACTGGTTTGACAGTGGTCAAATACATGTCCCACAGTTCCAAGGTGCCTGTCCACATGCCCGCTCCTTCCCCACCCTACCTGCTGCTGTTTTAAAGTTTGCCCTTCCCCAAATTTGGATTTTTATTACAGATCTAAAGCTCTCTCGATTTTATACTGATTAAATCAGTACTGCAGTGTTTGATTAACCAAGCTTCTGCAGATTTTGTGATTCTTGGGACTTTTGATGTAAGAAATACTATTTTATTTATGCATCTCCTTCCCACAGTCATTTTTTCCAGCATTCTTCTGCCATATGCTCTGGATTTTTTAAAATAGGAAATTAGGTATTCTGGTATTTCTCTATCTGCTTTGTGTGAAACCATGGTGTCGAGTGTAGCTGGCTGCTATTGGCGCTTGTCTAGTCCGAGTCCCCTGTAATCAGCACAATTCTGACTCCAACAACGAGAACATTCACTAGAAAGCTCTGCTAGGCCTTCGTGGTAGCGTAGCTTCTCCCCCAGGAGCCTTCAGCTCTTGTGTACCAGTACATGTTAACACTGGGATTTTTTTATATAATCTTGGTCTATTTTACCCTAGAATGTATTGTATATCATGCATACATTTTCTGATTAGAAAACAGGGAACTGATAACTATTTGGGGCTTAGTGCTTCTAAATTGTCATGGAGACATCATATGATACATGCGTATTAGTAACTCTGATAGTAGCTACTTTTATGGTTTTCCTACTTTTATGCTTTTCCTGGAAAGTGTGAGTGATAGGTCCACATGAGGATATACTCCTTTCCTCACATGAGGATATACTCCTTTCCTCAATATAAGGGTAATTCGTGTAACAGATCTCAAGGGTCTGTCTACCTATTTATAGCAGTGTCGAATGAAGTTAGTGTAGGTGTTTGAAGAAAATGTTCCCAAGTAAACTATATTTTTAAAGTGTTATGGCATAACATAGCATAAAAATACGTACATTTGAAAATCTGTACCACTCGTCATTATTGAAGTTTCTCTAAGGGCCAATAGAGGTAAGAAAAACACCTCCAAACACCTGTGGGGCATAATTTTCCCAGGAGAAACTTAATTGTGCGTGTGTGCTGATTCACCACATGTAAACTCCTCCACTTGGAAGAAGTGAAGATGTCCTTAACAGGCCCTTAACTTCCTTCCTGTGTGGAGGTGATTGCCTGGAAGCAGCAGACCCCAGCCTGGCCCTCGCGGGAATTAGCCTCGCAGAGTCTGGGCTGCAGGTGGTTCCCATGGTACGGACCTGGTCCCTAAAGGATTCACAAAAAGGAACCTGTACAAAATATACATCCAGTTCTTTATTAAACAACTGTAAACACCTCACTGTAAAAATCCATAAAACTTTATAAACAAACATTTTGTAAATAGAATCTATACTACAGTAAAAGAATTAACACATTTATTTACATGCAATACTGACAAATTTGGCACTTTTTGAAAAGAAATGTACAAAACACTTGCTCCAAAAGAAATTTGAAATTATGAAAACTCAGAGCATCACTACCATGCACTTTGTAGATACCTCACAAGCACTTATGGCGCAGCAGCGAGAGCTCCACGCTCCCTGTCACACTATGTAACCTTCAATGTGCTCCCATAAGTCTGTTGTAAAACCACCTGAACATTGTCAAGAATAAAGTCAAATGCCATATTCCAAACTGATTCCACCGACTGCTGCGTCAACCTACAGGTGGGGAAAGAGGAACACCAGGAAAGACTCATGATTCCTTCAAGAATCAGTTTAACATTTTAATGTAAGAATCAAGAATCGATTTTGGCAAACTCGAACATTCCAAAGGACTTCCCTTGGTTTTAAACTATATGAAACCCCAAGGGGAACAATCTCATTCTGACTTTATTACCCAGTCAGTATTGCAGCATTCCTTTCTTTGCATTCTACTCACTGCCAGAAACGACAGAACTCAGAGCCTTGCCTTCCTCCACTAGCCCCTGTGACATGCCATTTCCCCATGATGGCAGTACCAGTTACCTTTTCATGTATTTTATAACGAGGTCCAGTTTCTCCAAGTCCTTCTCCTCTATCAGGTCAGTGCAGTATTTCACTACTTGCAGAATGTCTTCTTCCATTGGATCTGGAGGGGAAAAACATCAAATGAGGACCAGCCCACCTATTTCTAGGACAGGAAACTGCATTTTACAACAGCACAGCCAATGGGCTCCGAGAGAACTTTCCCAACCAGTGGAAGTGCTCTGGCTGATTGAAGCTTACAGGATTTAGAAAATGAGCGCCATCGGCATAGTTGGAACCATAGGACCATTCATTACACATCGTGCTCGGTGCTCTGCCCGGCCAGGCTGACCTGAGATGGTGGTGATCCACTCCTTGAGCAGTGTCTTCACGTCACTGAATTCCACGGCGCCGGCGAGGTTGGGTGCCGGGGGCCTGCCACAGCCCGGGGCGGCAGGCTGCACACCTGAAGCAGAAGCAGAGAGTTCTCCCTGTTAAGAAAACAAATGATAAAAGTGCTGTATTTACGTGACATCGAGTGCGTTAAGATGTGGTTTAAAAAGCATAAAGCTTACTAGTGCTTTCCCGGGAGCAGGATCTTCGTGTTTCAGAAACCCTTCAATTAGCTTCTGGGGACTCCCGCTGGCCCCTGGCGCGGCTTTGACAGGGCTGTTAAGCAGCTTGTTTTTCAAAGGGCTCTGAGCCTTTTTGGGGGAGCTGATGGGGTTTTTCTTCTTGTTCCGTTTCTTTTCTTTCACCGAGGCTGGTTTCAGCTGAAGTAACGGATTCCTTGGCACTAAAAGATGAACATAAGATCCTCAACCAAGGTATCTGGATAGTAATATGGATCCCCCCATCCCTCTCAAATCCAACCCCTGTGCACACGCACCCCAACTAGCCTCTAGCTGAGCCTGGGAGGCAGTTCATGACGAGGGCTGAGAGGTCAGGCTGGGCTGGCCCCCGCTTCATCTTTCTGTTGCACCACTGCTGACTGCTAACTGCTCACAGGAAGTGATGAAAACTCAGCAGGTGAAATATAAACGGCTCCTCAGCACTAGTCTGTTTTTAGCCTGCATCCTTTTATGTATCTGTTTCAAAGGACAATGGCCTTGGCAATTATGCGAAAAGATTTCTAGAAATACCTATTTAGGCATCTTTGTTTTTTTAAAGGGCTTTAAAAAAGTCAAGAATGGTGTTTGTAAGTCAAGAAGTTACAGACACAAATCTAACTAGGACTCGATCACTTACTGTATTGTCTACTTGTTCTGCTCCCCCAATTTAAAGACCTCAACACTACTAAGAGCAGAGTCTGGCCATTATACCCCACGCTCCACTTCCCGAGTGCTCACCGGCGGCGCTGGCTGGCTGCTGGTGCACGCTCTCGCCCTGCCTCTGCCTCTGCTCATACGCTGCTTTCAGCTCCTTCTGCAGCTCAGCAGGGAGGGCAGCAAACACCTCTGGGTCCACCTAGTGGGAAAGAGGTTCAAAGTCAAAGGAGTTGATTCTATATGGCAGCTGGCTTAATACTTTTCACACGAGATTATTTTCAAATGATACTTTTCTGATCTGTATGAATTCTTAACAGGTCCTCAATATTAAGGCTCATTAAATCCTCACGAGGTTTTAGGATGAGAAGAAGGAATACAATTCTGAGCATGAACTGGACTTTTTTTTAACGAACAAAACACTGAGCACAGGCTCTGCTGGTATGCCATGTTTTCTGAAACATGAGACTGGACTGTGTTACTGTCCCAAGCTGCGCTTCTCCTGTTTCTCAAGCACAGCCCCATCAGAGGTCTAAACGGGAACAGGATGTTCTGGGTAGAAGCTGTGAACAACCATGTGCCATAGTCTCCCTCCTCTCAGACCTCCGTTGTTTCTGAGTGGCTGCTGTCTGTCCTGCAGATGATGAGACGAGCCAATCCCGCCCCTTCCCCCATACGGACGTGGTGTAGACTAATGCAAGTTTCAGGTGCAAAGGGAAAGGAAAGATATGCCCTGAACTGGAGCAGGAGGGTATGGCCATTTACACTGGCAGAAGGCCCCTCCATTTCACTTACCTGTGAGAATGCTGGGAGGGCTATTACATTAATTCCCATGTCGCTGCTAGATGCTTGAGGTTCTGGTATTTGTAACAAAACCGTCCCCACTGGCTGGGGCACAATCCCTGTATTACAGCCATTTACTGGCTCCTTTTTGTCCCCGTGCTGCTCCCCTTGCTGGACCGCACAAACTTGCTCTACTTGTTCCCGGAGATCGGGTGGGAGTGCTTCCAGAACAGACTGATCAAGCTGTAAGACAGGGTGCGAGGGTGCGCCACGCTCAGAGATGATGTTTGGAGAGCTCATACTTCACTTGCCCCTCAACGTTAACATCTCGGATAATGAAGAGAAGGTGAGGAGCAGATAACCAGGCCAGGAAAGCCACCGCCTGCCCCTGCTCTGAAGGCCGAGCAGAAATGTGTGGTTCTGAAGGTGACGCTCCACAATGGCCGGTCCCCAGGATCAGGCCAGTACACACAGGAGGAGCCTCCATTGAGCTCAAATCTCCAATTCCTAAAGCCAGAAGTTAACCTTTCAGGCAGGAAACTATATGCCCCCGAGCACAATGCTAGGCTGAGAGCAGACAGACTGGCATCCCTGTTCCCAGGCCCGGTCCTTCCTCCGGCCCCGCACACGGCCCTTGGGGGGCATGACGCTCAGGAGTGGGGCAGGCCAATCAGCTCGCTGGGAGCAGCTTTCTGGGTAACTCGGGCCACAACGGCCCCTTGCCCTAGCCTGCAGCCAGCGGCCAATGTTCTCAGCCTCTGCCACCGAGTGCTACCGAGAAATCAACTTTCCACACCAGCAGCGCGCACCAGCTCAGCGAGCACCTGCGTCAGGAGGTTAGCCCTCCAGGGAACCGCACCGGCTGTGAGGAAAACCCGTCACAGGCTTCTGAGCGCCAGAGCTGGTCTCAGCCAGGAAGTGCATGTGTGGCCTGTCACAGAGGCAGTGAAGGAACTGGTTCTCACCCAACATTTCACAAGTTGCAAAGGTTGCAAATCCTTCACTTAACCGGTCATGTGGCATTTGGGATTCAGTTCGGGAACAGAGTGGTCTTAAGGAGTCACCCTTTCTCTCGACTATACTGGCAAGGAAATTAAACATGTCATTCCTACTGTAAATCTACTTTTGCATTATCATCATAATTATAGAAATATACCTGTGAAGGAGATGGGACCTCTATACTCAGGTTTAGTTTTGATTTTAAGCTGATGGGAGGATGTAGACCATTCCATTTCCCCGAAGGCTCGCCTTTGCTCACAACAGGGCTGATGGCAGATGTCAGATGTGTGGAGAGAGATGGCAGGAATGTGCAAGTTCTAGAGGCAGATGCAATTTCCAGATCCATGGCAGCCAGGAATACTGAAGCACAGAAAATACAAAAACTAGCCTCCATCTCATTCGGGGACGTGGGGGCACTCTGACCCAGCATGTGCCTGAAGGGGCGCACACAGCCCTCCCCGCCAGAGCACTCACAATCAACAGCTCTCCTGAGGCAGGACCACCCCACACCCACCTTCCTGGTGCTCTTCCTCCGAGGGTGCCTTTGCTTTCTGGACTTGGAGGAGGTCCAGGACAGAGTGGGAGCCGCCGGGACAGGGGCCTGGCTGAGCTGGCACGTGCCTGGGACATGCGGGAGGTCTCGAATGAGCGGGAACCAACTGGTTCACTTGAATCCCAACCTAGAATCAGAAGAAAGTATGTTTTTAGGAAAACTAAAGTGAAACATGAAGTCAACTGAGCAACATTCTCAGCCAGTCCTCTTTTTACATCTCCTATTACTACAATATGAAATTAAAGTATTTAATCAGCCTTCTACATGATTTTTACAAAAACGGCTTCTGTACTACCTGGTGAGCAGACTGCCCCTCCACTTCTCCTCATTTACAACCTTTTCACACAGAACGTCCAAAAAAGGGAGCTGTTGTATCTCACCAAAGTTTTTGCCAGAAAAGTTTTAAAAAGATTCTAAAAATTTTTAAATTAAAAAAAATCTGCAAACTTCACATAAAATTAAAAAGTATTAAAAATGGGCCTGGGCTGAAGCCGGTTTGTCTTAGTGGTAGAGCGTCGGTCTGCGGACTGAAAGGTCCCGGGTTCAATTCCCGTCAAGAGCATGTACATTGGTTGCGGGCACATCACCGGTGGGGGGTGTGCAAGAGGCAGCTGGTCGATTTTTCTCTCTCATCGACGTTTCTAGCTCTCTCTCTCTCTCCCTTCCTCTCTTTAAAAAATCAATAAAATATATTTTTTTAAAAATAATGGGCTTGGGAGTGGACGGGCAGTACCCTCGGGCATGTGACGGCCACCCTCGCCAGCAGAGCCAGCGCAGCGGGGAGGGAGAAGCTGAGTCCTGGCTGCCGCTGCTCCCAGGCCTGCCGCACCGGCTGGTCACCACACTCCGCACGCTGAGCGCACAACGGGACCAGCGAGGCTCCTCTTGCAGAGAGCTAGGTTTCCACCTTTCCCATGCTCTCATCTCTGCTCCAAAGGCACCTTCATGTGCCTGTGGTAAGTCTTCCTCATCAGACACACGTTTCTGATGAAAAAGAACCTGGTAAGTACAAGCCCTGCAGACTCACACTCATCCCAGTCCCATCTATTTCTAGAGGAACAAGAACAGGAAGCAAGACAATGCATGTAAAATAGTCCTTGGTTTGTTAAAGAAAGGCACTATAAGAACTTAAGGCACCAGATTATTATTCTAGGCAGAAAACAGAGTTCAGAACAAATCTGATTTTCTCTGAAAAAGGAGATCATCCGGTGAGAAATTCGAGTTTTTCGGTTTTATCACAGGAGCTGAAACCTGCACACAAACCGCACACTGGCCCCGGCGTGCTCAGACCAGGCCTCCAGCGAAAGCCACGTCACAGAAAGCATTCTAATGCCGTGCACGCACCCCTCTCATGTCTGCGATGCTCAGCTTCATTGTGTGGAACATGTTCAGCGCGGCCTTCCCAATGACGGCTGCGCTGTCCGTGGCCTGGTCCAGCGTCACGGTCCTGTAAGCGACAGAGGTGACTTTAGGGCACTGCTGACAGAGATGGAAGTTGTCAGGAAGCCACAGAGTCACGAATGTATGTATGTAACTCCCAAAACCCAATGAGCTAGTTTACCTTCAAGGAAGCCAATGAATTAATTACATTGGCAGCAAGGAGAAAAGAACATTCATACAGAACATTGGAATTTTAAGATCATTCACAAAGAACCGGCCAACTAAAAGTAAACTGGAACTTTAAAAAGAAGTACTCAATACATTAACAAATGTAAACATATTGTGTTGCAACCAATGCATGAATGTTAAGTACAATGCTCTTAGATACTAAGAGAGGTTTTAGGTTCCAAGGACAATGGTGTGTCGGCAGAATGATTACTATGAAGAAAGCAAAGATGAATCCCTTGTATGTTGGTTCCTGACTCTAGTTTTGTCAGTCTGAGGTGAGGCCACTGAAACATCTAAACGTGGATATAAGCTCGTTACAATCCTCGGTCTGTGAACAGACCCGTGCGGACAGCCGTGACAAGGGGACGGGTGGCACCCGTCTGCAGGCCGGGGACGGCCAGCATCTCCAGGTGCCCCATGCGTCCGTCCACTGTGCTCGCTCCCCGTGCCCCGAGGACATCGCGCACTCATCTGGACACGTGCCCATTTCTGCACGAAACCACTTGGAAAAGTATTTCCACTGATTTGTTACCCAATAATAACTTTCAGCACAAATAAATACAGAATAACTTAAAAGCATGATTTCAGTGGACTTTAGTGGATGAAACCTATGTTTATCTTAATTTCTTTCTAAAATACCAATAAAGTGACTTAAAATGATTTTTGAAAGGTATAAACTTTGATAGAAATGGGAGAGGGGATTAGAGAAGAAAAATGTTATCCATAGTTTAGAATACTAATAGCAAATCAGTAAATGGAACGCTTCCAAATGCCTGCTTAACAGCCAGAGGAAGGTACCAACATGAGCAAGCACAGACCCCCAGAACAGCTCAGGAATTAGAGGTGCCAGGTGTGTAAGAAAGGAGGGGGAGGAAGGGGATGAGAACGAACACGAGAGAGCCCCCGCCGTCCACCACCTGAGGGCCCGTCACAGCTCAGGGAGGAGCGAGGCACCTCCCATCCCCTTCCCCATCCAGACCCTTCCTAACAGGAACCAGATCGAGCTGGAGGACTCCGCTCTGGGGAAACAGGGAAGCAAACAGAAAAGATCAGACACTACCATGGGCTGTGACAACCCCACAGCAGCCCCTCCAGCCACTCGGTGAAGCCCCCGGAGCCAGGCCTGCGTGTCCCGCTGAGTCCAGAGGACCAGACCGCATGGTCGCAGTTCCCAGGCGGGAAGCCGAGCCCGCAGACACTGCGGGCATCCAGGAGAGGAAAGGGACTTGGAGAAGCGCTCACCCGGGGACTGGCCGAGTATTTAAGAGAGACGATGCTGCAATGTGAAATACTAGCAACATTTACAAGTCCAAAGAGCAAAACAAAACACTCGAAATTTAAAATGTTACTGGAAACAAGTGACTTCTAACTCCAAGTTACGTTTATAGCCTTTAAGTCGGGAAAGCGCCGAGCATCAGGGCAGACATACAGGTTCAAAAAGGCAACCTGACCAGCGCTCTCTCAGTGAGATCTGACGGGGGACACACACACACACACACACACACACCCGCAGAGTGAAGGCTTTGCAGGAGGCCTTGAGATAAACCAGTCCAGCAGGAGTCGTATGCTGAGGGACCCCAAGAGACAAGTCTCCCAGAAAAAGATATCAACAGATGGCTGATGTACTGAAATATCCTGGAAGGGAGTTTGGAAACGATCTCTGGTCAATTCACAAAAGAGCAAACGATTCTCAGTAAACTGAGAAAAACTTGTTCAACAGGAGAGGAAATGTGTGGGTCAGCTCTGAACAGTATGTGCGTGGCTGGGAAAATTTAACACTACACCATGACTGATCCAAAAAACAACTTTACTGAGGCAAAGCATGCAGGGAAACAGGGAAAACTGACAAGGGAAAGCTAGTTTTACAAAACGGGAAGAAGCTAGAGGTAGCAGTTTCCGTGTGCACCTAGAGGCATGGAGGTGACCACCAGGAGAAGCCACGGGAGCGAAAGGATGGCTGGAGCTGGGGCCCAGCACGGGAGCACCGCATGCGACACCTCCTCACTCAGACGCGTTCCTCTGGTAAAATTTAGATGGACACACTTCAAACTGACCACATGCATAACAGGACTCGAGGGGAGATTCTTTCCCCAAAAGGAAAAGGGTTATAAGAGAAACTTTCCTAAGTGAAAATCAAGCCAGAACTCGGTCTCCACGTACCTCTGACAGGCCATTAAAATCTGCCGTTTCTATTAGTTTCATCTAGTGTCAGAGTCTGGAAGCCACAAGACTGTGGTCAAGGCCAAGGACAAGAAATCACAGAATCATGGAATGTGGAGACCAGTTCTTAATCCACTCAACTGAACAGGACTCAGCACACTGCACGGGAACCCACAGACTGTTGTATAAAGGGCCAGGCAGTGAACACTGGTGCCTGGTGGGCCCCTTCGCAGCCTTCATGTCTCACAAGCCGCTATGAGGTAGTGTCCCTCACACTAATCATAAAAACAAGCACAGGCTGGCGTGGCCCACAGGAAGTACTGTATTTTTCGGACCATAAGACGCACTTTTTTCCCCCAGAAGTGGGGGGAAAAAGTCCCTGCATCTTATGGTCCAAATATAGCCTACACATATACTTTTAAAAAAAAGTTTTTTTACTTGCCCGGCTCTGTGTGGTCTCTGTGTGCTTGCCTGGCTCTAAAATGGTTCTAAATGCTGCTGTTTACTTTACAGGGTTGATTACATGTGTTTATGACTGTGATGTTGGGTTTTAATGCACATAAAATATTTTAGGACACTATTTGTTTCAGAATCTTTTCTTCTTCATTTTCCTTCTCTAAAAATTGGTGCGTCTTATGGTCCGGAGCGTCTTATGGTCCGAAAAATACGGTAATTAGAGGAACAGTCGGCACTGTGGAATTTCATAATCCCCACTACAACACAGCATCTCCTCCGCAGTCAGGCACCCACAGCGTAGGCGTCAGCAGCTGGCTTACAGCCATCTGCATCTTGGTGACG